ACATGCCCTATTTCTTAGAGTTTCGCAAGTGTTTTTTTAGGTCCCTAAAGGAATAATGTGTGACTTTTTGATCCAGTAGATGTCGCCCTAGAGCACCAGCATGAAACCAAAACAAACTGCTCATTAGCGACACCTAAAACCAACTACTCTCCACTCACATTTACACAGAAGAGTCATATTGGAACGCACCATAATTAAGCACTAAGCGCAAGCAGTGGAAAAAAGTCTTGAGCTGCATTGTTGTGTTAGCATGCTAATGTTAGAGCTCTTTAGTTAGCTCATAGCTTCACATTGCATGTAAATCTACACAGAATGACTGTGTAGAATCTAAAAATGCTTGAGTGAGTACAGTAGGATATTCTTCTTTTCTCTAGTTCCTCACTTAAGAGCTTTAATACGCAAGGGGATGAGCCGGCAAGTCGTCCCATCCATTCAAACACCAGACAACATCACAGCGGGACTCGGGCGTTACACTCATTGTAGACCGTCATGACTTAGAGATATTTACACTGGATATATGGATTTATGTGTAATATGTTGCACATTCCTCCTTATGAGTATCAGCACTGTTATATTCAGTTACATTGACATATCAACATGAGAAAATAACTAGACAGAAAAGGTCAGCTCATGCTAATCAGGGAAAACTATAAAACATGATTGTACAGCCTTGAAACTGATGTAGAGAAGTGTTGGCAGCGTATTTTTAAGACATGAATGCTACAGTCATGTTGGCATGTTGTTCAACTGTCATGTTGTTCAATGCACAGGAACATGAACGCTTCTCATTGTTAACACCATACAGCACAAAGTGATCAAAAGAAATCTAGCTGGGCTGCTGGTAGCCTACTGGTTGGTGAGCATGTACGGAGGCAACCCAGGTTTGAACACGATCTGTGGCTCCTTTCCCACATGTCATTCCCCATTCTCTCTTTCTCTCTTTCTCTCCCTGATTTCTGATTTTACCCACTGTCCAATCTCCAAATAAAGGCATATAAAGCTCCAAAATACATCTTAAAAAATAAAAGATATCAAACTGTCAGATCAAATTAATTGATTTTTTTTCTGGATTCGTTTTTTACCGTTTTTAAAGCAAGGAAAACATGATTGGAATTTGCAAAACCTGTACAGCTAAAGACATAATCATCATCCATCTCCCCTCACTACATTTGCATTTTTTACCCACTGATGTGAATAATGTACAGGTTATGAACTTCTTTGTAGATCAGAAAAGTGTGCACATCAGTTATCTTATCACTTTTATTTGATGCATTTTCAAATTCAATCAAATCTATTGATCATCCATTAGCTGGATCTGTTATTTGTATCATCTGAAAGGGAAACTATATTCCCTTATTTAGGGCATTGAATTTTCAAGCTTATTCCACTGATAATAAATCTCTGTGAAGTAGAGCATCAGCTAAATTTCTAAATGATCAAGTACCCCATCATGAATCATCGAGAAGAAGACACATGAATAAATTGCAAGTGCCACATCCCATCATTAAAAATGTTTCCATGAACTGATGCGTTCTTCTTCTGTGAGCGAGCAGCTAGCAGCTTTTCAAAAAAGAAGACACGGCCTCTTCACCACAGAGCTAACACAGCGAGACGTGGATGTGTTAGTGCAGACGTCTGAAAAGTTTTTAAGGGGACATATCATGAAAAATCCACTCTTACAGTGTTGTTGAACATATATTTGGGTAACCTGAGTGTCTAAAGACCCACAGAATGTGAAACAAACCCATCCAGTCCTTTGTTTGTGGTCTGCACAACACAGAGGAAAATGCTCCATTTCAAACTTGCTCTCCTTGTGACATCACAGTGGGATTCTGGTAAAAAAAAATCCCCTCCCCTCCCCTGGTCTTCACCCATGGACTCCACCCCGAGACTAGAACAAAACTTTTGCACAGGTCTGCCAGTTTTATTCTCGCTACAGAGGACCAATGTCTACTGTGAAAACTACAGGGGTCACAAACCTCCTCTGGTGCTTGATTCATGTTATATTTTGACCAAAGCACAGCACAGATGTTTCATTTAGATCACAGGGGACTGTTTGAAAAGGTGGAGAAGGGGGATAGTATGTCCTCTTTAAAATCAACCAAAAGAGAGAAGGGGAATGGGGGGGGGGGGGGGGCTTTAAACGCCCACCCATGTGCCGGATAAAAGACTAAATACACTGCTGCATTGGAAGTCAGCCATAATGACCCAATTAACAGCCCTCCAACCAAAGAACAACTCTGAAAATAAATGAACACAGAGAGAATGAATATCCTCATGCCGTCTCTCATTCTTGTTCTTTCCATTTCTCACTGTTGATCAGCCTGATTTGCTTTTATTCTGTTTCCTTTCCTCTTACCTCCATCTCCTTTCTCTCCCTCTATCTCATTCCCCTCTCTCTCTCTCTCTCCCTCGCTCCATTTCAAAAGGACAAATGTTTCCTGCAGTCACTGTAGCACTGCATTGGTATTCTGCTCTCAATTTAGCCGAGAGCCAGGCAGCAGTATCTGCTTCCAGCAACCACACAGCAATCTGACACAGAGCACACAGAGAGTGAGGGGGAGGGGGGGTGGAGAGAAGAAGAAGAAGAAGAAGAAGAAGAAAAAAAGGCTCAGAGAATTAGAGGAACTGAGAAATGTGAGAGAGACGGCAAGAAAGGGAGAGACGGACGGACTCTGTATGGCCGTCCAGCCTTTTGCTTTGCTACCGGGTCTCTAAACAGAAATAACTCCGCCTGGAGAAATGAAAGATTCTGCATTTGTTCTGCTGCTTCAGAGAGCGACAGACGAAGCAACACACCTACTCGAGCTGTTCGAGGCTGTTCGAGGCGCTCTAAATCAAAAACAACTTAGAGGCTTTGATCCAAATCATGGCCGCATGCTGATGTTATTCGTATTACTTCTCATCTTTCAAAAGCAATGCTCTGACAACAATTTGAACAAAATAATTGTTTGGGTTGATTTCTTTTTCAGTGCTGTCAAAGCTTATCTGCAAGTGGCACAAAGATGCAAAGCTTCAAACAATTGGCACATAACTGCTGGCAGAGTAGTTATCTACCTTTTGAAGATTCAGTAATTACGAGTCATTTCATCACATAGAACACTGAGGGAGCTGCAGAGTCGATTGATTATTATGGCTTTTTGCGTTGTAATATTAATAGTGCATATTATAGTTGCAAAAGCTGCAGATAATATGGTATGGTACGGAATGAAGGGCTCGTGTTGCCCCATTACAAAAGATCAAGAGAGAGAGAGAGCGATTTCTGATGGCTGCATGGGGAATGAGATAATTCACGAGCAAGGTGAGGAGATGCAGACAGTTTGAGAGAAATACAGGAGGGAGATAAGTGCAGGAGGAGGAGTGGGAAGTGCTGACAGTGGGTAAAGGTGAACGAGAGATAAGTGGAGTAAGGGAGTGAACTCGGCAGAGAAGGAGAGGGAGGTGAGGAGAGGAAAGATGGAAAGCCCAGATAGCCTTGAGAGGAGAAAAGGTAGGAGGAGGGTGAAGGAAATGCTTCGGGAATAAAAGAAACAGAGAGATGGATGAACATGAAGGAGGGGGGGGGGGGGGGGGGGCATAGATATGGAAATGGGATGTGTCAGTAAAGGAGGAAGCCAAAAGTGTATAAAAGAACAGAGTTTGACATGAGCTGACAGCAAGGGAGCACATCCCAAGAGCAAATGGAGGCAGGAGGAGGGTGCACAGTGAAGACAATAGGCTTGGATTGGAAAAGAAATAAAGAATAAAAACAGACAGGTAAAAAAAAAACATAAGGAGAGAGAGCTGAAAAGTATACCTACAATGTGTGATTTTTGCATTTGAAATATCCTTTTCAGATATTCTGCACCTTTGATGGTAATCGTTTTGTTTTTAAATCCCAGACACTTTTAAAGTAGAACCTGAGCAACGTCTGAAACTCTGGTATAAGTCACATCACAGCACCTCAATCTCTTGAAACATTTTCCTATGATAGAAGAATGAAAATAGCCTTTGGAGAAAGCCCCTCATCATCCTCCGGTCTTCACCTCAAATATTAAATCCTACCAGAACAAAAATGTTGCACTGCCTCTCAACAACATCCCAGCCACATTTGAAGAAGCACCTGTGTCATGATCCGTAAAATGCCCAAGAAAGTGTTTTTTTTTTGTTTTTTTTTCTTAAACAACTCAATATATCAAGCCAAAACGATACAGGGTCTACATCATCATCATCTTTAACCCTACGAGAAAGAGGAAACCTGCAACCTCACACTTTATTTGCTTTATATGTGATTTTTCACACTTAAATGTGATAGAAATCAAGTATTTCCTCTGACAATAACTCTGTGAGTCATGACTGTCTACAACGGGTGTAACACACGAGTCTCACTGTCTGTGATGCTTGTAAATTTGCATGCAGTGTGAAGATATGAGCAAGATTGCGAGCACTAGCATGCTTACACAACAATGCAACATCTGCTGGATCCAAAAATCGCATATAAAGCCTTTAAAGACAATTTATTAAAATCAAAATACACACTCTCTTGTAACTCAATAGAATTTAAGGGTAAAAGTACAAAAATGTGCCAGAAAATCACCCTAATTCTGAGCAAGTAGAAATGTTCACATCTAGTTTTTGAGTTCATCGTCTGAATTGCAAGATTTGCAGTGATGTTCCTTTGTGTAGTACAGTCCTCCTTAGGGTAAACAGACAAACTGGGAATGGCTACATTCTGATTGTTGTCACAGGGGGAGATCGCAATGACTATCCATCATTTAATACAAATGTATTCACTAATAGCTGAGGAAGCTACACTCATTCCTTCAAAACAATAGTCCACTAAAATAATATGCAAATTCCATCTCTTTGTATAAAGTCTGTGATCTTTACCTTTAACAGATGTGTGTTGAATTGACTTGGCAAAAAAAGAGGCTACAGTGCATGCCACAAGTAAAGCAGCAGATAGTACAACACATACAGGATGTCAGGGTGAAGCAGGTAACAGTGGGATGTTTCCTTACCTTCCTTGCAGTACTTCCCCCTGTAGCGAGTGTGCGTGCAGTCACAGTGAACTTCTCCATACTGAATCGAGCAGAACCCTCCATTGAAGCACGGGTTCTGTTTGGTGCAGAGGTACTCCAGGTCACTTTGGATGCCTTGGCTATTCAACAGGGTAGGAGGTATCTCCCCCACCTTCAGGTTGGAGATCAAACCCAGGAACGGCGGCTCGTACTTCACCGTACTCGACGTCAGAGCGGAGAGGCGGACGTCAGGAGGGATCCCGCCCACAAACAGGTCGCTGACCACCGCCATTTCCTTCCTCTTGGATTTGACCTCGGCCACTTTGGTCTCCCCATCCACCATCAGGAGGGTCTCGCGGAAGTTGCGCGTGAGCAAGACCATGTGCCAGCGGTCGTCGTTCACCCTCGTCTCCATGTGCAGAGTGGCCGGCTCGGCGCAGTGGATGGCGAATCGCAGCTGGAGGCGCCCGCCGGCGATCAGCAGTTCCAAGAAGTCGCAGTTTCCGCCGTCGTCCAGGTAGAGTACCAAGGCTTTGCTGATGTTGGTTTTGAGGCTGAAGCTCAGCTCGCCCACCGATCCGGCTTCCCAGCGTCCGTAGCGTGCCCACTGGCCGGGCGCCCCGCCAAATTCCAGCATCTTCACTGTGGTGAGCAGGCTGAGGAGGGCCAGGGGCCACAGGGGCCAACACGGGAATCTCAACCCCGTTGTCATACTCAAAGTTCCCTAGTTGCCCCTTCTCTTATAAATACCTTACAGGTTTACTGAACCACAGAGGATAGCTTCACTGTGGCTAACAGTTTTCAAATGTAAACAACAATTCAAACAGATATCACTTTAAACGGGGATCTGCAGCTCTCCGGGTAAAGTAATCCTCACAGGGGCCTCTTCTCCAATGTTCCTGACGATTCAGCAGTTTTGTTCTCTTCTCTCTGTTGCTCTAATTCTTGTCCTTATCCTGACTCTCTCCTCCGTCTCTCCATCAGTTGGTGCCTCTGGGACTTGGAGGAAAAGAATGAGGAATAGCGGGAGAGTAAAAGAGGAGGGGGAATATGATAATTTTCAAACACAGCCGTTTTCTTCAAAAGCCTCTCGGTGTATCCTGGACTGAAAATAGAAATTCTCCGTCTGTAGAAATCCAGATCTCAGAGCAATTTCCAGGAAATCTGAGCTGCAGCCAGACGCTTCGGGACGGGGGGGACGGGGGAAGGGGGGGGACGAGTTATCCAATTGTGATCTTTCTTTAATCGGAGTTGCTAGCAGAAGGAAAAAGGGAGCAAACGAGTGAAGGAGCTGTTGAGTGTGGAGATCAGAGCTCGCTGGAGTCAGCTGGAGCATACAATGAGTTCATGGTTTCAGCATAAACCCAGTCCTCCTGGAGCCTACAGACCAGGAATTTTCAAGCCGGTATGGATCCCATCGTTAAGGTGGCAGGAGGGGATCTGGAAGAAACACACAAACACAATAATTACTATAAATAGGGCACAAATCTGCTTCTAAAGCATTGTATGTCCGTAGAAAAAAATGTGACCCATTTTAAGTTAAACAGCAATTACCCTCTTTACACGTTATTTAATTTATCTTTCATCTTCTTTGCCTGTAGTTTGCTTTCATCGCAGCTGTAGACACCATGTACTAGATTTAATAATCCCCACACTCTATTCATTTTATAGCTGACGCTTCAAAAAAAGAAAAAGTTTGTCTGGAGCCAAGGCAATAAATAAGCCTTCAGAGTTTTCCCAGGCTTCCTACTACCCTGAGTGGCCTTAGCAATATGACTGTCTTATTTCATTTTCTCCCTCTCAGTCATGTCTACAGACACGTCAAGCCAAGAGCCAAACATAACATATCGGCTTCACATACATTGAAGAGACCTGTCTTTCATAGGCCAATCAAAAGTTGTCATAAATCACAACCTTCCCCCTTTCCCACTCACACATGGACATGCATATGCAAACACACACACCATTAAATCAAATGTGATTGAGAGTTGAGTGCTGCAGAGTCAATAGCTATCTGGAAAACGCGTCTTGACCCTGGGGCTCGGCCCTAATCCCCCGCCATTATTTCTTGAGTGCAATCTCATTTCCGTCGCATAAAGTCTACAATTAAAGCTGGGCTCACTCCTGCTCATGCTTCCTGCTTCAATGTGACAACAGCGATGATGCTAGTCTACTAGCAGGGAGGTGGGAAAATGTTGGAGAAATACAAAGTGAGAGAAGGACAGAAAGAGAGAGAGAGAGTAAAAAAAGGCAGCATAATCATGATCTCAGAGGGCCGAGGCTTAACGTCTTTTGATAAAGATGAGGGAGGACAGAGCGGACAGAGAGCTGTGACAAACAGAGGAGGGAGGAGGACAAAAATTATTTGGGCAATTTCTTTGGGTGATGTTCATATTGGGAAGCACGACAATGCGTTGCAGCCTTGAGACTGTTGTTTTCTTAGTTCTAAATGTGACTCATAGTAGTCATTTTGATATCTTTGCTCTACATTCAGATGTTGAAGTGTCAAATTCCTCAGGTATTTAGGTGTCATTTCCAGCAGCTGCTAGCTTGTAACTGATTCGCCCAGGTGACCTTGCTGCAGCGTGTATCCTGCACCATTTAAACAGTTTCGCCTGGATGCGGATCTCGGGTCTGAACAGGGCTTTAGGTGTCTCAGAGGACCTCTTGTGTGTGCATGTGTGTGAAGAGCGGAGCCACACCGCCACGGAGAGCCAAAGACGAGCAGAGAGGGTGTAAATGATTCAACAACACATCGCACCAAAACTTTCTTTTTACTCTTTACTCTTTCGGATTATGAAAGCAGGAAGAAAAAAAAATGGACTTCTAGAAATTGCACGAATGTTTGATCAAATTGCTTGATATTCTTAACATAATAGTTGCTTCCACTCCGTCATGATTTTCTGCATTGTGGGAATTAGAGGGTCCTTGTCATGCTTGGCTTTAAGTTGTATGGTTTAAGGAGTAAACCTGCTTAGGAAACTGACAGCGTCAATGGCCAATACTACAAAAATCTGCAGCTCCTGCATTTCTTAAATGTGTGCACAGTAAATTAATTTCCAGGTGATTTTAGAGATGCTGAAATAGAGATTGTCCCAGTGGCCTTTAAACTGATCTAGCTTAAATAAGAAGGTGTGTTCAGGTCTAAGCTATGGAAGGAAGGCTTTGATGATGAAAAGCTAAATTTGTAATCCCCAGGTGTCAGAAACCCAATAGTGTTGTCACTGTGGTGTACATCAGCACATGTGGTAACATTTGTGGTAACAAATACACTTGAATCCTACAGTGGCATGTATGGAAATGCATTTCAAATTGTACAAAATAACACCAAAAGTAATGACGGCTTTAGGTAGATTATCAAACATTTGATGGATTTAAAAAAATGTTTAGCCACCTTCTAACTTCCAGGGTGTGATTTCTGGTCTAGGTGGAGTGAAATAAACATTATGAGGAGGTTTTTGTCCTCCATGTTTATGCTTACTGATTGCCATTCTTCTCACATCCCAACATGTAAACAGCCTGTGATAACACTTGACTTACCGTATGTCAGACTGATGTTCAGTGTGAAACCCTATCAGACAAAATCACTCCAGGCTCTACATGCCCCCAGCAGTGATTAAACCAGGGCTGCTTTATTTTGGTCCCAGAGTGACAGACCTCTATCTGCATGTTTGCACACGCTCCTTTTTTAAAATTTGCACAAACACTTGCAAATACAAACACAGTGTGTTACTGTATATAAGCGGGCATGATCCACAGGATTCATTAACAGCAGATGTGAATAGACATGCTGCTTGGAAACACATCTAGATAGCTTCAATGTACAGTGAATCTAAAAAGGGCATGAATAAATGTATACAGAGTCAGAAAAAAACCATCCTAATTAATTGCGAGCATATACTACACACTACATATCCCCCTACCCTCAAGATAATATTTTAATTGCCTTTATGAACATCAACAAAGACATAACATTTTATCAATTTGGGTCCGAAATAATTGTATTGGGGACGATTTTTTGGGCATTTTCCTTTTGTTTAATCAACCGTTCTCTTAACCACATGTGTGTTCCTCATGGAGAGATATGTTTGGAATATTCCCTGACCAAATTGAATATTCATGGAGTTATTTCTGTCTGGTTGGGGACTCTCCTCAACAACAAACAGAAGGAGTGTATTCCAGCGTGCTGTCTTTATGGAGGTTTATGATAAGGTTTGGTGTTTGCTCCATTCATGCATTGTGTTGCTAGTTATGATGGGGGGGGGGGGTATTGGTGGGCTTGCCTGATGGTACCATTAAATCCCAAGGACACGGAGGAAACATAACAAGCCTCAAGAGATAAGTAGAGCTGGGAGGGTTGTGCTGTGTGTGTGTGTGTGTGTGTGTGTGTGTGCGTGTGTGTGTGTCTGTGTGTGTGTGTGTGGTTGTAGACGCATGTGCAGCTGTCTGCATTCAGCAGAGCGACTGTCCTTGTGTGACAGTGTGGTGTTCATCTGGACGGTGTATACTCGGTGCCAGTTTATATGTGTCTATATTTAAGCCTGTGTTTGCCATTAGGATTGTTGTCACAGTTGTAGTCCACAGTGTCTCCTCTACAATGTTTGGCTACAGCATTGTTTTACAAATGACATCTAAGATCCAGCTTTAGGTCCAGTCTGAGTCCAAAAATAACATGTTTGCTCTTTTTTCCCCCCAACTGCTAGCGTGACTTCCATCTGCCTCGATTCTCTCCTCGAGAAACAGGACAGCTCTCTCGCTCTCAGTGCTTGGCGGAGCTGCAACAGAGCCGGGCAACTTGACTGAAGGAGCAATCTGTACTGAGCCTTGCACACCCTGACCCGACTACTTGTCCAATTGAAGCTCTGGAACCCCTCAGGCTAGCCACATGGTGATGTGAGCCACCACCGACCCATTTCCTCACATCATCCCACGGGGAACGCTGGCACCATCATGACAGTATGTTACTTTATCAACACTGCAGAGGAGACTAACCCATTTTTATTATTTCTTATTGCCTCACATGTGACTGAGATAAGATGTTTACAAATCTATAAAATAAAAAGTATCCACACTTCATTGTCCAGATAATCAAAGCCAGCATTAGCATGGACAAAAAAGTGATAATGTAAAAAAAAAAAAGTGATCATGTAAAATAAATGGATGACAAAACAAATTCAGTAAACTTCATTGGTCAACATTTTTGACAACAGATACTGATGTTGTTTTTCTGCCCTATATTTTCTGCCGTGTTTCTCACACCTGAGCTTTATTCTGGGTGTGCTGTCCATGTTTATTATAAAGATAAAAAATGTGGCTTTAGTCGTTATAATTACATGGACAAAAATGTACATTTAAAACTAAAGGAAATCCAGTTTTTCATCAAAAGAAAAAGTATTTTATACTGAAATCTTTAAATGCACCTTGTTGTTATACAATGCTTATTATGAAAACAGAAAAAAGATTTTAAAAATCCAAAAGTCAAGTTGATGTTTTCCAGTAAAGACAGTCAACAGAGCAGACGGATACAGAGGGAAAGACGAGGGGGGGGCTTCAGTAAGAGAGCAGAGGGCAAAGTGTGTTTGTAGGAAAATGAAAACTTCAGGAAAGTCAAGTGGGGAAATGAAAAACCTGAGAGTTCACTGAATCAGCTGAGAATCAAGTAGATAACCTACTAGAATAAAGGTTAATAAATAGACATCACATACTGTTTCCTTTCTTGAGTAGCCGTCAATGCTAAGCTACTGAATATCAAAGGAAGAAGGTGAATCTTACTCAGGATAGAAAGATCACTATATATGTGTGAGGTCGTTTTGCTAGATGCTAGTCTTCTCCTTTTTTCATGTGGTAGTCTACACCTTGGCATAAATGTGTGTGTTTCAGTGTTTAATCCATCTCCGGCAGAGCTCCGCCTTGTCCCAAGCTCCTCACATTCCTCATGGAGGAGACGACACCTGTTGTGTGAAGCTGTGCCAGGTTTCAGCTGAAGCCTGGTTTTGAACACTTTACTGCCAACACTTGCTACACGTCAGTGTGTTCAGTGTTGTGTACTTGTTTTTTTCTTCTCAGAAGGGGCAACAGCTCATTTACAATAGTAAATATGACACTGAAACACTTTTCGAGTGCGATAAAAACAGATGAAGCGTATGAAATATTTATACAGCACAATAATCTAGACAAAGGATAATAGAGGTGGAGCTTACACAAATATTTACACATGCAAATGTTTTCCAATGCACAAATACACCTACGCATGCATTACACACTGTTTCCACATGCACACACACACACACTATATCCAGTGAGACAGGAGCCATTAATCCTGGCCTGTGAGAGGGCTCAGCAGTGTACCATCCGTCAGCATGAGGCTGCTGCTGCTGCCGCTGCTGTGCTCTAATTAACCAGAGAGGCATGCTGAGCCACTTTTAATATTCCTGGTCAAG